GGGAGAAGCAGGCTCCCCGCTGAGCAGGGAGCCCGATGCGGGGCTCCATCCCAGGACCCTGGGATCATGACCTGAGCCAAAGGCAGACGCTTAACTGACTGAGCCACCCAGGCAGCCTGCCACCCCTCTTCTTTTCATCACTCCTCCCTCCCTCCTCTTTCTGTTGTTCCTTCTCTTCATCCTCTCCTGCCCAGTCCATCGTCCTCCACACCACCAACGCCAACATTTATTGTGTATTTACTGTGCATCAGACACTGTTCCAAGAATGCCGCATATACTCATTCTCACACACACCCTAGGAAGGATTCCATTAGTGCCATTTAAGGTAGTTTCATCCAAGAGCTCTCTCTACTTGCTGGGCACCAGATGTCCTCTAGATACCACCCATTGGAACCACAGAAGGGTTTCCCTGCCCTTAGGGAAGCCTGGGGGTGGGGGAGGCATGCCCATGAGCCTACCATGACTCAGGGACCAAGGTAGTGGAGCAGGATAGAGTGGTGGGCAGATCTCAGGCTTTATAGCCTAGAGCAAATGCTACCATATCTCCACCCACAACCCTTGGACAATCATGCATTCCAGATGACTTCCAATTGTCACGGTCTGCATCTCTGCGCCTGAGGGTGTTTGTTCCCCAATCTAGGCATTCAACCAATGGCTCTCGGGTATTGGTGTATAAATACCCCAGCTCCCTCAGCTCTTGAGTGGGCTAATTTGGGGTCATGAGTTTTGTGCTTTTTCTTTTGGAGAGTAAATCATAATTGCCATTGTACTAGCTGATATAATAATGTATACTTTTTTGGCTGCCTCCCCTCTCCCGGATTACTTTCCATGACCCAATACACTATTTGCACTTGAATTATTGTCTCAGGGTCTCCTGAGTTAGGAAAACCTACCTAAGGCAGACTCTAAACCAGACCTCGTTTGAATTCCAGCTCCAGTACTTTCTTTCTATATGATCTTTGAAAAGCTTTCACTCTCTGGAAAGGGGGAAAGCTGGTGCAGGGCTTAGACATTATTATATATATAAAGTTCTGGTGCCCAACCCTTCAAGAAATGGCCATTCTTACTGTTACTCTTTACTGAAGGAGGTGCTGTTGTTCTATGGTCAACCTTTGAATTATAGGATTTTATTTGATTTTTAGTTTTTCCTTTTTTTTACAGTTTCTCTGAATTTTAAATAATGAACAGTTGTGATTTCTTCAGTCAGAGAAAATCAGCAATGCTGAAATGCTCTGAAAGGTGAGGTGAAATGCTCAGTCAGTAGACCTCAGTAGAAAGGAGATTCCTTTCTCCTCTGTTCCCAGCCAGAAGCCAATCCATCATGTCATCTCCAGATAGCACCAGGCTGCAACTGGCTCAGACTGATGAGTGTCTATCTATTTTTAAAAGCTCCTGGAGAAAGAGGCTTCAAACTTCCCCTTGACAATCCATTCCAGGGTTTATCAAATTCATCTGAAAAATGAAATTTCCCCTTATATCTAATCTGAAACCCTTGCTCTGTGACTCAAGCCATTGCTTCTCTCCCTCAGCTTGCAGTGAAATTAGGAAATGGTGACTGCATTTGTCCTTATCTAGAGCAATTAGTTTCCAGAAAGTCTACAATTATATAAAGTCTACAACTGTATATGCGCAAGTGAAACACATGCGTGTACTCCCTCTCTCTCTCTCTCACACACACACACACACACACACACTGTCAGGGCAGTCTAAATCGGCATTAAACATAAGCAAACCTTACATTCCACGCCTTGGGCTCAATGCAAGAAGCCATTTGGAAAGCCCACCCCATCCTCGGCTGCTCTGAAGCACAGAATTTCAGCCCCGGGTGGTTTGTCTTGTCCTTTCAGTGGTGGCAACATCAGGAGCGTAACCCTGAACAGGAATATGAACTGCAGATGTTGCAGGAAGCGATCTCGGACTGTTCCGGTTGATAGAGGAGTGTAGCACCCTCAAACCCTGAGAAAAGGAAAGAGAAGAGTTTGCTGATATGGACAGCCAGTGTGAATGATACATTGTGACAAGAGCTTTTCCGCCCCTCTCTCTCTTTTTTTTAAAGGATTTTATTTATTTGTCAGAGAGAGAGAGACAGAGAGAGAGAGCGTGCACAAGCAGGGGGAGCGGCAGGCAGAGGGAGAAGCAGGCTCCCCGCTGAGCAGGGAGCCCGATGCGGGGCTCCATCCCAGGACCCTGGGATCAT